ATCTTTTAACGTTTACTACTTCTTTGGCTTTTACACTGAATAATAGTTGTTACTGTTATTTCTAGTAAAGAAACAATTTAATTAGTGTAAAGGTAGTTCTTTGTCTCTTCATTAGTTTCATTAGTACCAACGGTGGTTTTACCGACAGTATTTAGCAGCTAACATCCAAATAATATTAGAACTTACATTTCGTGAGCAGAGTTATATCATTTTTCATTAATAGAAACAATATTTTATGATGTATGATTGCGTGGAATATAATTACTGTCAGTTTTTCGTTTTTTTTTTTTGCCTTTTTGCTCAATTGAAATTGTTAAATTTTACTTTAATAAAACTGCTGGAAAAATTTTGAACTAAAGAAGTTAATGGCGCAGAAGTAACCGTTGAATTTATCATAGCAGCAAAACTTAGAAATGGTGAAATGCAAAGCTTTTCACTAAGAAAACTTCTATCGAATTTCAAAATTTTCTTATTAAATTTGAATTTGTTTTTAATTTAATTTTTTTAATTTTTTAATTTACCACACGCAGTATAATATGCTATAATACCATTTAATGATAAACGAATAAATAGTAAGATTTAATGAATCAATATGAAATAATCAGCGAAAACAATGAATGAAGACAAATAAGTTGAAAATGGTAAAACAAGGCTTAGGCAAATATAAAATAGGAAATTTTAAAAAATAGCATCTAAAATGATTAGGAAAATAGAAATAAAGTGAATCCGGTATAATTTTTAGGTTTTGCATCATTTTTTATTTATCCATATTGTCGAATTAATGCCAACAATTCTTTTTCTTTTCAACTTTTGGCCTTTAATCCAACTTGACAACATTTTGAATTTGTTAAATTAAATTCAAAAATGTGAAAATATTTGAAATTTTTAAGAGAAAAAAAAGAAAATCATACATTACAACTAATTTTCTATTAATTTTCAGTGGTGGCGCCGGCGGACGTCACTTGAGCAATTTTTTGTTTTGCTTACATTTCTTATGGTTACAACTATCGTTATATTATTAGCATTATACTTACCTTTAACTAATGATATTGCTAGTAAGTTTGTCCAATTTCGTCTCCACTTCCTTCAGATGATTTGCGATATTTAATCATTTCAAAGTAATATCACTTGGCAAATTTTATTTTCAAAGAAATGTTCAAAAGATTCCAGAAAACATTTTACTTATTGACAATTGAGATTTTAAGAAGGGAAAAACTATGTATGAAATACAAAAGTTATCCATCAAATATGTCACTAAAAATTTTGTTATAACTCTTAAGAACTGATTCCTATGATATTTATTAACTTCTTTATGTGTATACATCTCGTTTGGAACGATAAATTCATTATCACTATTAATTACTATTTTGGAAGGATTCATTGCATAATATAAACGATTTACTGTCATTTTTCTATCTTCCATTTTTTATTTTTTGTAGATCTGAAGAAAAAAGGCCTCAATAATATTGACAACAGCATGGTAATTCATGAGGATGTTGGAAAACGGGTATGCTTAACAAAAGGTTGCATTCAAGCAGCAAATAACCTTGTAAGGATTCATTTTCTGTTTCAATACATTATTCATAATTTCAATTTATAAATTTAGCTAACAAATATGTTTATTTAAATAAAATTCATCCCTCTTATTACAGTAACTTCAATACTTATCCACCAAAACTTAGGTTTTTTTCGACACTGATTTAAGGGTAAAAAATTTAATATATTGAAAGAATTTGAATTAGACAACCATTCTTTGAAGAAATTAATTCAATAATTACTTATACACCCGACCTGTAAGTATCATTAATTGAAGCATATAAGGTTGTTATCATTTTATTGTTATCATTTTAATTCGTTATCATTTTTCTTGTTCCCATTCAAAGCACAGGATTTTAGGAGTTTAATCATTTTGTTGCTGTCTTTAGTTAGGAATTGGAAATTATCAATCCTACTATGCAGTAAATATGTTGAGCATATCTATTATTAATCGAATTTAATCTCCATTTCTTCGTTGCTTCCGGTTATCCATTGTATCCGGTTACTGAAAGATTGAGTGGTGTTACCTTCCAGACTTCTCTGTTTTAAACAAGCTTGTCCGTGGATAATTATAATTTCTTTTGTCTTTCTATCAATCATTAATTAAATAATCTCCTGTCACTGAGACTATAACTGAATATGAGTAATAATGGTCCTAAAAAATATATATATATATTTGAGCTGATGGCGATGAATTTATCGGCTAATCCATGTGACGACTTTTTCGAATATGCTTGTGGCCAATGGAATCGTGATCATATGATACCTGATGATATGTTTGCTTATGGTACGTTTGCGTCTGTCCGAGAAAATGTCCGGCAACAAATGAGAGGTAATACTGATTGTGCAATTATTATGTGAAAAAAAAGTTTCTGT